ATTCTTCATTGTGCCGTGCCAGTGAGCGGCTGCCTTTTTTGCCCGCTCTGACCGTTTTTATTTTACAACCTTTTTCTCTTCCATTCTTGCATTCTGACCTGTCTACGTTTGATTCTGTTGTTAGCAACTCTCTCAGCTGCATTTTCGGTTCGATTTTGTTTTTTTCTCATCCGGTTACCTTCTACTGGGTAGGAATCGCTATCGCTTGCGCCTTTTTGTATTGATTTTATTGGCCTTTGACTATATTGAGTTCCTTGATCGTGATCATGCCTCCGAAAGCCTCTCGTTCATCTTGTAGGGGTGTTTCTAGCTCTGCATCGACTCCTGCTCCTATTGTTGGCATGCAAAATGAGGTCACCAGTGCTGACTATTCTAATATGTCGGCCTCAGACCTTCTGCTGCATATCAAGGATAGGAACAAGGATCCAGTGATCGATCAATTGCTAGACATCCTATCGCAGAGACTCCAGAATGCGGTCTCTGGTGAACTTGAGGCTGAGAAACGATCACGTACAATTGTCATAATTGGGATACGGGAGCCATCGAATGATCTCCGCGCTTCGAAGCGGGCTAGGGACCTTAGGAGTAGGGTGGACGATATCATGGACGTTCTTGATATTGACTGCTGCCCAAGTGAAATCCTTCGCATTGGGAAGGCAGCACCCGACCGTCCTCGGCTAGTCAAGGTAATTTTTCCGTCAACTTACTATTGGCAAAAAGCTCTAGCAAATTCGTATCGGCTTCGTAACTCGCCCTTCTCAAATATATTCATTCGTAAAAGTATGACTACCGAGGAAAGGAGGGTCGAATATGAACTTAGGCAGCAGGCTAAGGAACTCAACGCTGGGAAACCCGAGAAGGAGTGGGTCGTTTATCGCGGCCAACTGAAGCGTGTCTCGGAGCTTCCTAGTAGGAGTTCGGTAAACTAATGACTACGCATGGCAATCCTGGGATACTGAAATGTGTTTCACTGAACGCACGTAGTATTGTAAATAAATTGCATCACTTGCATTCGCTTCTGATTTATACTAAACCTGATCTCGTGTTTCTGACTGAAACCTGGCTTAAGCCAAAGGTACACGATTCTGAGCTAATCGGTGATCTGCCATATTCTATATTTCGCACTGACAGACCGAAGCGAAAAGGTGGTGGTGTATGCTGCCTTGTCAAAGGCTGCTTCTACATCAAACAAGTGACAAGATTTATTGCTTCGCGTTCTGATTTATTGACTGTGGAACTTTTCTGTTTGTCGAGTCTGAAAACTGTCAAGTTCGTAATCGCGTATCGTCCACCTAACTCCACGCAGGGTGATGATAAACAGCTGATTGAGCTTCTCTCCAATCTAACTTCCGATGGAAATACTACACTTATTGTGGGCGATTTCAATCTACATATTGATTGGTTCAATATGAAGCACATTAGCCATGAATCTAAACCGTTCCTTGATTTCTTCATTGATGCTGAATTGAAACAGCATGTCTTATATCCTACCCACGCTGATAGTATTCTGGACATCATGTTGTCTACTTCGGAAAACGTTCACAGTGTCAGACTCTATCCACCTTTGGCTTCTGCAGATCATAGCATCATTACATTTGAGTATAAAGATAACTTAGCTTGTCTCATCTTATCCTACACCCGATTTTGTGCACTTTGATTACGTTTCTCTCAACAAGTATTTATCTGAAGTTGATTGGACTGCACTGTTTGACAATTATCGCAATGTTGATGACTTGTATCTCAGATTCTGCCAAGTCATATATACTGGGATGGCATTGTTTGGTACTATGCGAATTAATTGCAAATTTGGATTGATCTATCCTGCTCATATTCGTTCACTAACTAGCCCCCTGTACAAGAAAGTCTGTGCTGACATTGATCTGCACCTCAGAAAGTTTCTAGCCATTCATGAGCGACGCTTATCAAAGAAATCCTCTATGAGAAATTTATTTAGGTACATTCACCACAAGTTACAAAGTAAAGTTAGCGTCCCGGTGTTGAAAGACTCTTTGGGTTATACTTGCTGTAATGATTCCAATAAAGCAGAGGCCTTGGGTGAATGCTTTGCCATTGTGTTCGCGAATCCTTTGAACATCACCCCCTCTTCCTCCCACCCTCCTTCTCAAAACAAATTGAACTCTGTTTATTTTCACCCTGCGGAAGTGAGAAGAGTCTTGGTGTCCCTAAAACCTTCGTGTATGGAGCCGTACGATGGCATCCCTCAGATACTCTATAAAATGTGTGCAGATACTCTTGCCAAACCGCTTGCTGATATATTCAATCTTTCCCTATACTTTGGTGAGATTCCCTCCCTTTGAAAGGAAGCCATTGTTACAGTTATGCCTGAAACTTTCGCAGCTGAAAGTGTTGCCGATTTTCGCCCCATTAGCCATAATTCTGTGCCCATCAAGATTATGGAAAGAATTATTAGAAGTAAATTACTACTTTGGTTAGAGAGGTTCCATCTTGTTTCGCCCGAGCACCATGGCTTTGTGCCAGGCAAGTCAACTGCAACTAATCTTACTGACGCCGTTTTTGATTGGAAATTAGCTTTGAGTTCGGGAAAATCTGTGGATATTATATACTTCGACCTTTCCAAGGCCTTTGATAGAATACCTCACCGTTTGCTTCTTTGCAAACTAGAGAATATCGGAATTTCGGGAAACCTACTAACTTGGTTTGAGTCTTACTTGAGCAATAGATGCATGACGGTGAAGATTGGTCATGAATATTCCAGAAAATTTCCTTGTCCCAGTGGAGCTCCTCAGGGAGCTGTCCTATCTCCTTTGTTATTTTTGGTATACACTTTGGACCTACCTGATGCTTTAAAAACATTGAATGTACACGTACAAATCTATGCGGACGATACAAAGATATATGCATCCTATGATGAAGACAACCTGGACACAGTTCATGATGCTTTGCAGTCATCGATTGATAATATGTGTGCTTGGGCGTCTCAGAATGGACGCTCTCTTAACCCAAGAAAATGTTCCTTCCTCCATCTTGGCAAGCATTCCTCAACTTCGTATAAAATTGATGGAGTTGAGATGACTGCTTGTCAAGATGTGAAAGATCTGGGAGTTATTATCGATTGTGATTTGAAATTCTCTAAGCATATTGATTCAATTGTCAACAGGGTATATGCCACTTTATTTACAATCTTTCGCAATATACAAACTCGTAATCCTATAATACTGTCCCGGTTATACAAAGCTTATTCCACATCTTGAATACTGTTCGCAAGTTTGGACTCCTTCCCGGAAAAAAGATATAATGAAGATTGAAAGAGTTCAGCACACTTTTACCCGCCTGGTCTTTCGTCGTGCGAGTGGTGGAACACTAGTTGATATTCCAAACTGTCAGCTACGCTCTAATAAATTGGGCTTGACTCCTCTCATAATTAGACGCATGATATCCGACCTCGTCTTTTGTTTTCGTATTCTTCGCATGGAAATAAAATTAAAAGCAAGCAAATTTTGGATCTTCAAACCTGCTGGTACGAGGCTAGGTGGTTTCAATCTGCATTATAAACTTATCAAGCAACATCAGTCTGGAATATTCAACTACCTGTTCTTCCGCTGTGCAAGATGGCTTCAGCGCTTACCCGTTGATATTGTGTCAGTGCGCGGCGGTGAAGCCTTCAAGAAAAAATTAAGAAAAGCTGATTTGTCTCAACTTTTGAGCAGTGATACTTCTTCTTGATTGCGTTGCGTTTCTAATATTTGTGTTCAGATTCTTTTAGGGTTTAGGTCTTTAGGGCTTATGGTTGTTATGGTTCTCCCACGGTTTTGTTCTGAGGCTTGATCTTCTTTGCACTTCTTTTTTCCTTCTTTTTCTTCTATTTTATTTCTCATCTCTCAATAGTCTTCTTTTTAGATTCTCGCTCTTGTCAATGCGGTTCACTATCTTTTTCGTATGACGGTTTCTATCACGCGACTCTACCTGTCTCATGTTGATCCTTACTCTGGGCTGATTGTGGTCGAGGGATGCGGAATGAGTGCTTTGTTGGACTGTAGTTTATGTTAGATCAGACTCTACCACTTCATTGGACCTTGGTTCAAATTATTGCCGTTCTCTGTTTGGTTTTCTTCTAACACTTTCATGCCTCACGCGTTAGTTTGGGTCTGGTTCCGTCTTATCAACCTCAGTAATGCTTGGGCTAGCTTGTTTGGGCTTGAGACTTTTGCATTGTGCAACTTCTATCGGAGTTCTCTTCTCTCCCCAGAGTTTTGGTTGGACGGGTTTTATCAATATTACTACCAATACACCTGCTTCCAACATATACAATTGCTTATGTTGAGTAAGAGAAGAGCAGGGGGCATGAGACAGACTCCATTGAACCTCTATACCTGTGATGACTTCATATATGTCTAAACAAGCTCATCCCTTTCCATTCCTAGAAAGGTTTTGCGGACTGGACTTGAACTGATTCAGTGGGGAGTTTGCCTTTTTGTTTTATTTTTTTTGTTGTTGGTTGTTTGGTGTGATGCTTCGTTCTTCTGTTGTATGGGCGCGCCTTGTGCGTATTAAATAAAATAAATAAATAGATGCAGAGAGCTGTTAATGCACTTGCATGTTTTACAATTTACAAGAAAATTGATTTAATTAAGTTAGAATAGAAAGTATTCTACCTGGCGACTTATTTGAAGCTTAAAGAAAAGCACTATCAACGACCTGTTTGGTGCATAAAAATGTATTGTGTGTCGCTTAAATTTCGGTCTGTTGGTGTCACATAGTTTTCGCAGTCTGATTAATAACTTTAACATCACGTGTGTATGCTGTTACTGTTTGTTGAAAACGAGGTGAAAAGTTGCGAAAGAAATAGGCTGTTGAGATAAAAATTAAAAACCCACAATTGCTCCTGCAGCGGCAATTTAGCAGTGCAAGAATGAATAGAATAGCTAAAGAAGAACACAATGAAGTGTTTATTCTGAATACAAATACAGCAGCAAACTTCATTGTGACAAAACTGGGCGCTCGAATAGTAGACCTGTTGCATGTCACAGGTGCATATCACTTCGCACAGTGCAAAACTCTTCGTCCCACAAATAGCACCAGCTGCATTGACTCATTTTGATGGGATGATGGCTGCACCTCTTTTGCTTTTTGTAAGCAAACTTGAAGAATTCATGCGTTGAGATTTATTGCTAATTTAGCTCATCATCTTTGTCAATTCAAATGGGATACGTCACGAGATGCGAGCAGTTGGCAACAGGATGTCACATCAGATTGACGATGAAAAGCGCACAGAGCTTAGAGAAAAGATGAGACCGGTGGTAAGCTCCTTACCATCAAAATAGCAGGTTTTTTTATGGATAGAGCTGCATTTTTGTAGCACTATGACTATAACCTTGAAGCTTCCTCAGAAATGTGTTATCACCATCGCAAGCATTACTACACCACGATAGGGTCTTTTCAACCCCTTTGGGTAAGTGCGTTACTGGAAGCACTGAGAACTTTACCGAATACAACTTTTGACTGAGAAAGAAAAATTAACTTTAGGTTGAGAAAGAAGAGTTATTCGAACACTTTCCTAATCCGTCGGAAATCGCAGATAGAATGAGGGTAGTGGTTCCTGATGTAAGTAAAACCTACAATGCGTAATTTATACTATAGTGTGGTGTTCACCTAATCGAATTGATTACTAGAATGAGGGTGTATATTGTAAAGCTTACTTTACAGTGGAGAGATGCGCATGAGTTTGGCTGTTATTACGAATTGGAAGAGTATGCTGATCGACAGAAGGTTGTTTGTATATTTGCCTTCCTTGAAAGAGATGAGTAGGGAAGACCGGCTCTTAAAGTTAATAAACACATTACTTTCTTGTTATTCTACAGCCGAAAGCAAAGAATATTGTGAGAACAGAGGCAGGCTTATTGGTCCAAGTTGTACAGCTCGAAAATGATTAGGCTGACCTATAGAGAAATTCATTGTTTTACTCTATGGACAAGCTTCGTTGCCACATGGTTTAGATGTTTCTGTAATGTAAGCATAACACGCACAAATATTTAGAATAGCACATCTTTTTGCTCTGCTCAGCAACGACCAAACCTTTCAATTATCTCATTTAACAATAAGGTGTTGAATCGTAAGGATAGGGAATCATAAGTGCGCATTATATCTAGGAAACTCTCTGAATGGAAGTCTTTCAAGTCTCGCACTATCTTTACTTCCGTTTACTACATTCCTCTGTAAACATAGAATACAAATTTAATGCTCCACAAGAACACATCATAATTGAATTCAAGATTTCTATAGATTTGCCATTTAACCAACATGCAAAATACTCCGAAACAAGAGATATCGGCAGGATGCATCTTTTTTTACTCGAAAAGTCTGTAAGAACAAAACGTGGATGGTAGTCCTAAAGAGAAATAAAAAGTGATATGAAGGTTGTAATCTTCTCATTTTTTGCACCTAAAAATTGTGAGAATAGTGAGGATTGAACCAGATCATTTGCGACTTTAAGAGTGGAACTCGAAGACGGAAGTGATTGTATCTTTGGTCAATCCACCTCATTCTTTGACTGGATTGAGGGTAAAAATGATTTAGAAAAATTCAGACGTTTTTCTTCCGCTTATTGTGCTGTATCAGCAACATCATGTATCGATAGTCAAAGCAGCCGGAACCGACCTCCGGTTTTTGCCTTATTCAGGCCTTTTAGGGCTCCAGATGGCACTAAAAAAGCGTAAATTCTCGAAGAGAAAACCCTTTATTGGAAATATTTTGTGGATCTGGGAAGAATTTGGCACTATTCTTGTTGCAAAAAACGTTAGCGGGTCAAATAGTATGCTGTGCTTTTAGCTGTGCTCGCCATGTGAAAAAGGGTATAGCAAAATGTTATTAGTGGAGGTTGGCCTCGCGAAGAAATGGGCGGGATTGAGAAAGTGGGCGGGGTCTTCGAAGGCTTAGTGATTTGTGCGCCAATTTTCTCCTTTTAAAAGAGTTGTTTGGAGATCGGATTTCCGCAATAATTCTAATTGCTTCTTCTGCTCTAGTACTCGATTATAGTAGTAGCCGAGATTGTCCAAATTTATCCGGACGTCTCCTTTGAGTGTGTTTGTCACGGAGCACAAACTTTCCAGTATCAAACCGATTTTGCGTTTTTTTAATGCAAAACCCCATGTTAAACCCACACATTTACTAAATTACGCTGCCAAGTATCTGATTATCAGACTTTTAATGAATTACAGGATTCACATTTGTCCGGTGCATGTTGGATGTATTTGTAGTCGCTTTTAATGCAACCTGTACCTTCATTTACATAAAAATCGATTTACTTAGTTTACAATAGAAAATACCCGACATAGCGACTTATTTAGTGCATAATGAAATGCATGTCAATAAATAGATGACATTTTGAAAAAGCATAAAGTGCAGAGTTTTTACTCCGCTGTTGAGCGACGGCAAATATCTGACACGAAACTCTATGAACATAGCTGGGGATATTATCGGCATACACCTGCAGGAATTCTGAAATGAAATAGCTGTCACAAGCCGACTAGAAAGAATGAAGAAAAAACCGGTAACGAAAGAGCAGTCAGTCAATTCTGCAGTAATGATGAGCTTTGCGAGAACATTCTAGTGGCATTATAGTTCTAAACATCTGCTTCTGCACAACTATCAAAGACGTTCTAGTTTGGAAGGTCGATCCGTTGTCGTCGATGGTAGCAGCTCTGTCCGAATGATTAGCGGTCGCGATGTTGTACTGGATCCAGAAACGACTTCCGAGTCGATTGTTCCGTTGCGTTTCTTGTGTCTGTAAATGTTAAGATCGATTTATAAAAAAGGAGATAGGAAAATTTTCGATTATTTGATTTTTGCTCAACACCGTGCAGTTCTCATAAGCTTTGATTCAATTGGCTTGGCGGCTGGAAGAAGGGGCTTTGTGACCAAGGCCGCTCGCGCCCGCTACGCAGTCTACGTCTCTCCAGCGCGCGTGCTCTCTGATCATAACCTAGCTTGATTAGGTCAGAAGCCCCGCCTCCCAGCCGCCACGCCAATTGAATCAAAGGGTAATTGTATGAGGGTAGTCAATATTGAGTTTGCTGTGCATATCAGTTTTTTTTTCACATGATGCTGCAAGCATTGTTCTCGAAAAAAACGAGATACTAATCATTCCGGAAGTCCTTCCTTTTTTTCCCATTATAAATTTATTCCTTGTTAGATCAAATTTGGAAAACTTGATACGTTTGTGGAGGAGGAAAATGCGCCTTACATACATATTCCGCACAGGTCTTAAGGTTGTCGACTTTTCACAAAATTTTGTCAATTTTTTGAAGTTACTGAAAGTACGTTCAAAGGTAGCTACAGAAAGCCTATACTTTGCTGGACACCAGTCTTTAAGACGGTGTGAGGATGCCAAAATTAGCAAAATTCATGAAATTCAAAGTTATGCGAAAAATGCATCACTGAAAATTCGGCAAAATTTTGTAGCTTTTATTTTTGCGAAACCAACTATTCTGAAATATTTAGTGGTAGTTTATTAGCTTCGCGAAACTTGATACATATGAAAGCACTGACGGGATGAAAAAGGTGAAAAAAATGAAACTACAGATTTCTTCAACTACTGATCCTCAAATATTCTGCTTTTAAAATTGTTCGCTACAAAGAAGAAACACTGGTAAAGGAATAGCCAGAATTTTTTCCTAGTTGCCTTGCTGCGAGATTTGATTTAAATCTGATGAAAATCACGAAAGAACTTTTGGAATAACTCAATGTTATACGAAGGTTTTCTTGAAGAGACGACTCTTGGAAAATTCTTGAAGGCTTTCTACTTGCAGAAGTGAAAATTAGAATTTATGTCAAAATTTTAGAAATAAATGTAGTTCGCCCCGTTTAAAAAAGCGAAGTCAAAATCATGGATCTCAGCCAAACCTAGACTGTTTCCTAACAGCAATAATCAGATTGCTAATTCAGCGTATTTTATAATGTGTTGCTTTCCGGAAGTTCTAGAGCATCGTCTGCGTTCACATACAAAACAAGTTTGATACATCGAAAACCCTTGATAATATATCACGGTGATTCAAAATTACCAAGCATCATAGGTTTTCAGTTTTTTTTTCCTTTTAGCAATAGAGATCTATTGCGCTCGATGATGGGGCTAAGCTTCACAGTAATGAACCTTATCAAAAATAAGAAGGACCGCAATGGCTTATCCAATTGAGAACGGAAATCCTTAGAATCAAAGATGAGCAAACAGGTGAAAGCGCTGTATTTTTTTTTCAAATTCCATAATTTTTTGAGGCTTAAATTTCTTACTGCGCTTTGGTAGCTTTCTTTATATTCTAAAATCGGTATGTAGGGTACGATAGCCTTTAGCCAGTCATCAGTATTATCTAGAGGATTTACTCAGTGCTATGTTCAAAATACGAATTTGTACTCTAGGGCTTGGCACAGGTGGCTTGGAGGCAAGTTGGATGTCGTTTTGGAACAAAAACAAAAGTAGTATCGTTTTTGAGGCCGTTTTTGGAATTGACATTTCGTTTTTGATGTTTTTTTACGTTTAGGAATTAAGGTCAAAGAAGACCGTAAAAATCTACGAAAATCAAGGGAACTTCGTTTTTCGCATTTTTCAAAAGCCACCACCTCGTGCCGTGCCCTGTTGTACTCTCCTCTGTATCTTTTTTGATCTACTTTATTTCCCTTCACGAAGTAACCTACCGTCATGTTTATTTTTGTAGTCTTTCGCACTTGAATTATTTATATTTATTTGTCTTCTGTTCCATTATTTTTCCAACCTTCCCGTTCAACATGCTTTTTCGCAACAAATGATTACTAGCACTGAGAGCGGAACGTGGGAGCCGTGACAGAGCCGCAGGCGATGTGTTTCCGAGTTCATCCAACAAAAACAATCGACTGATAATCGATCAGTCTGAGTTATGTATTTTTGCTTGTTTTTACATTAAGGTAACAAGATAATAAGCAGAGTGCTAAACATGCATTGTGCAATTTCACTCAAAAAATTCAAAATGATTTTTAGTGTGATCGTACTTCGAGAGAAGTAGAAAATAAACGAGATTTTAAAGACATTCAATCAATATATGTCAAAAAAGCTTCGTAATTTGCAGGAAAGATAGAATTATAGTCTACTACAGTATAAGAATATAATGTTTTACTGATCGTTATTTTGACATTGATGTTTCGGAGTTTAGAATTTTCCTCACCGATATATAAACGTACCATGAAAAAACTACAGTGAATTAGGCTCATTTGGGCTCTATGAATCATGCGTTATGAGTAGTTGAATAAAAGAACAAAGTATAAAAAATTTGTCACGAGGTTTGTGTGACACATTTTAACTGGTTCCAAGATAAAAGTATTTTAGGGTATGTGCTGAATTACATATAGTCCCTTTTCAGAATTTTTCAAAAAAAAACAACTCAAACTCACTTATCACGCTTGCTATCATGTCGACCAGACATTCTTCGTAAGCTATTTCCTAATCGGCTTGCAAATGATGCTACCACCTGCAATAACATACTTTGAATATTTCAGACATCTTGTGGATTGAATTACATCAACATAAAGGACAGTATGAAAGTAGGAGTAGGGGTATGTGCGGTGGTCGCAAACTATCCATGAAAAATTTACTTAGTTTCAGAGAATTTGAGTTTGGTACAGATATAAAGTCCAAAAACTATCTTTTGATCACTTTCTAAATATAAGTATATAGTGAAATGAGAAGAAGTTTATAGGGATCAAACAAGAAATCACCTCCATCGGCCAAGATTCTTTCTGGAAATACAAAATCAACAATTTTTTAGTCATCACAAGCTACAAACTAGTCGAAGACTTCTTTCTACGCTTCAGAAAAATCAATAAAAATTCAAGAAATTAAAAAAAACTTTCAAATTCCAAGAATTCCTATAATTGCTGGCCCTACTGTCTTCTATAGTTTAAACCATAACCAACCTCAGATGAGCTGATAATCTTGCTAAGACCAGAACGTTTTTGTTTTCGGGTGAGCCAGAAGAATAGCACAGGATTCCAAACTACCAGCGACATAGCAACGACATGCGCAAGCAGAGGGACCAGGAATGGTTGTGCTCGAAGAAATGAAGGCTCTATTTCTGAAATGAAAATCTTCGATTTTAAAAGAGAAACATATGGGAAACACACATTACAAAGGATAAAAAATTCTATGTGAAATTTGTAAAATTTTTTTTCAAAATAGACGAAAAAAGAATAACTTTTGAACAAATTTAGCAGTTCATTTGGATTCAAATGATTACCACAGTAGAAAATATGCAATTATATGAATTAAATATCTGTTTCATAATTGGTGAAAATGATTATTTTTAAACAAAACCTGGCAATCCATGAATACGTACATTTGATAGAATGGTTCGTAATTTCAACGATTATTTGTATCAAATTATTTTTGATTCTTAAAGAGTTTTGATTCAACATTTCCCATATCTCATGCAATTTTTAGGCAAAAATAAACTCACTGTAGTCTTTTACTAAATTCACAGCAGTCAAAGGCAGCCAACAGCATATGAAAGTAGCTACCATTCCAATTAAAATGTAATTGACCTAAATATAAAAATTTCGCTTTAGTTTTGTTTGTTCAAAGTCTAAAAATTACCTTCTTTTTCCGGCTAATCGCGTCTACTCTTTGTTTTTGTGAAAGCGAAGCAGAGAACTGTACGTTTTGTATAATCATATCCTTTGAAACTTTCCGCAATATCCGGAAATAACAATAAGTGATGATTGCCATTGGGATGACAAACTGTAAAGGAAATTGGATGAGATCTCTGAAATCAGAAAAAAAGCTTTCAAAGATAGCTCTTACCTGCACTAACATCACCATGGTGCCATAGAGTCTTCGAGAGTTCTCACTTTGCCAATTTGTTTCATCACAGAATTTTCCACAATATGGTACACTATAATTGGGAAATTTGGAACCACTACCAAAAGCAGAAATCGAAAAATTGTTAAAAATAAAGCCTAACCTGTCCTTCGGTACATAATAGCTACCGTCGACTAATTGATAGCTAAGTATATAGGGTATGTTGATCAATGTGCTGAGCAACCAGATAAGTAGGGTAATTGCCAAAGCTTGGCGTTTCTAGGGAAAAATTATTGGTTCGTAAATCTTACCAAGGAAAAAAAAACTACTCACAGTAACCGGAGCTTTGGTCGGATCAATAATATGTAGATATTTGTCAATAGAGATTGCGGTCAGACTCCAGCTGGAAGAAAATAAATTGAAAAACGTAAGAAAATTTGTAAAAACTGAAAAAGCATACCTGGTAACAAAAACTGAACAGGAATTAGATAGCGGCATAATATGACACATTGCTGAACCAAACTGCCAGTTTTTCGTCAGCGCATACCTGAAATCCACTCAATCAATATATCGATTTTTTAGCGCAACCGCTTTATTACCGTACTTTACAGTAATCTCACTTACCAAGGAGTCACCGGTACGGCGGTAAGCACCAATAATAGATCAGTCAAGATGAGATTGAGCAAAAAGATGTTCCTCGCCGACCGTAACCGTCGATTATTTGCCATGGCAAAGACAACACCGCCATTCCCGACAAGACCAAGTATGAACAGCGTGCCATAGACGAGGGTGAACGCTGACTTGACGAACAGTTGCCTGAAAAATGAAAATTTGGGAAGGATCGCAAGAAACGATAGACGTTATGTTGCTGGAAGGGCACGGACATATGCTATAAACCACGCACGTTCATACATCAAGGCTCGTACCAGATGGTTACTTGTCCTTCTTTCCCGGAATTTACCCAATCTATCCTATATTTTCTTTTGGAACCCTAACACCAGATCTCACTATCTATCCAATAACAAGCAAAACGATATGAATTCTGGAATTTGGTTTCCAAAAATCAACTAAGGTAAGAAATCTATTATCCACATAAACGATTACTGAAGTAAAACGCCGAATGTTTCAACATGGTAAAATTTTTACCCAAAGACCCAGGATTTACACAAAAATCAGGATTTACACAAAAAGTGAAAAAAATTTCTACGAAGTTGCAGCTGCTTCACTAACACGAAAAATCATCACTGCAAGAAAAATTCTGTCGTCTAATTTTGTTCGTATATTTTTCTACAACTTTAATGGTCATTTAAACACGAACTATTATTTTAAAAATGCATTGCTTCGCACAACAAATTTTCGACATTCAGAATAGATTTTTCTTCCTTCCAAATCAAAAACTGAGGGGTCAATTAGTTGTTTCCAGCCCCCTCCCCTCCCAAATTATGAAGCGCTTAATTCCCCCTCTCTCACTTTCTATTTTTTCGCAACCAATAACTTATCCACACCCTTTTTTTGCCCCCTCACAGCTGCTCTCAAATGATTTCGCACATCGTTATGATGGCGAGTAGACTCGAGGGCTACGCGAGCATCTGGTTAATACTTAACGCCCAAACCACTTGATGGGTGATTTCTTCACTGCAGAGCGCTGATTGAGATTTATATGTAAAAGACGATGACACAGATATAAGTTGAGTAAAAGAAAAGAGGAGAGGGAGGGGTTATTAATGTGAATCATAGACTAAGAATAGCATCGAGATTCTGGTTATAAAAAAAGTTGGACGTTGGATAAACATTACAAATTGTGTCGCTAGGATTATACCAAGCAGGTTTTAAAATTCGGGAAAATTTCTGTAACCTTACATATCAGAAAATTCGAAGATTTTCTCATTATATAATTCGTACGTATCGGATGTGAAAATTTCTAAATGGATTGGCCTCTTTTTTTTCAAGAAGATAGCGACAGAGTAAAAATGGAATTCGGGATTATACGATGTCTTAAGTCGTATTTTGCATGAATTCGTGGTTTTTAACTTGCATTCAGATGTCCTTCAACTTTTTCGAAATCAATCGCAGTACGTAGATTCTCAGAGTTTCATTATAAAATTTTTGCCAAAAATAGCTAACCTTTGCTATTATACTGTGCAAACATATCATTCATCGCTAAGTCACTTATAAGTACATTATGACATAAAAGGACAAAAACCTTTGCCACTCAATTATTTTATGATAGAATTTGTTCTCAGCTGTTTTCGTTGCGCTTACGTACGTATTACTGCGTTCCCACCTGATATTTATAAACCGCTCTACATTCAAGTAATATCAATTTGCTGATCTGCTGACTCCGACAGCAAAAAGCTTACTTGAAAGAATAGACTTTCGATTATGACGAATAAAAAAAATGAACGGGAAATTGTGCGAACAGATGCATTTTACTTGCTTTGCTCTTTTTCTTGAACAATGTAAGAACAACATGCTTTTCTGGAACCTTCTTAGTAAGTAAAAGAGCTTCTCGATGTTAACCTCATTAAAAGATCTAATTTTTGTCTCTAAGATTATATTGATACTCACCAAGCCAAATTGTAACAAAGTATAACTATTATGAAGACGATAAATGGCACTAGAAAATATTCAAAAAGCATCTGTTTGGAGGTCAAACTTTCGAGCTATTTCAAAAAAAAAACCTCATTTATACAAAAATCAAGCACTTCAATATCCCAGATTTTCCATATAGAGTTTTATGAATACACTAATTCCTTACTTAGGATTACTTTAGCCTTTCATATCCTTCCATCGGTGTCGTCTGATCCCCTTCACCTCACACCCTTCCTTTGCCCTCAAAGTTATGAATTTTTCAAGAACGGAGTTGTTTTCGTTCGCGGTTGTTTCCCATCTTTACTGGGTACTTGAATTCCATATTCAAAGCATCTTTATCGTCCTAGGAGCGACGTGGGCTATCACCCTATATACTCTATTAGGAAAAGAGATTAGAAGAAATCCATAAACAAACTTTAGGATGGTTGGTTCTATTTTTTTCAGGTTAGAAAGTTACCAAAAGTTCTTATATTTTGCTCAAGACTTCCTATTCCCACATATTCGACACAACATCCGGGATAGATGTCTGCATGTTGACTTCCTCGTTTTGCTTTGTATAGAATTTTGTCATTATCAATATCAACTCTTTAGCATCGAGACTTCCGTGCTAACCTTGATGAATGGGTGATTAAGCCTTCCAAGTCGGGATCGGATGGCTAGGACGTCATCAGAGGTAAACGCAAGGCAATGTCATACATGTATTTTTGACTTGGCAAGGTGCCAGAATAGTGAAATTGGCGGATAATGCAGTGTTCTTATGTTACGGACAAGATTTGGGCGTAAAGACTGTAATGTGAACCCTATGGCCAATTCTTACGCGCGAGTCACAAGCAAGTCGCCGGCAGGTCGCAAGCAAATTTTTGGCAAATCGCGAGCAGGTCGCGGCTTGTTTTCCGCGCAAACGTTGCCGACACCGCAGTAACACTAAATCATATTTCAAAGCAACTAAAACGTACACACATGATATGGTTTCTTTTTCACCCATGAATCTCCATTATCGCTCTACCGAACATGTAAAAAACCGAGTAAATATCAGACAAGATATATAACTCACGTCGTGACATCGTCAAGACCTTCACTTCGTATCGCATCGGCTATGAGAATACAACTGCCGTTAGCACTCATACATACAGAAGAATATCAGAAATCAGTATGAGCGTAGAATTGACGACGATTTCAGGCGAAGGCAGCAGAAGAAAGAAACAATCACCGCATTGAACGTGGACGAGATTGTGTTCTTAAGTCTTGATCGTCTTTCTGGAAAAACCGCAACATAGTTCTAAGTCGAAGAACTTATAAGGATTAGGAACGACGCGGAGCTGTTTTGAGCTCACGATGACGAGCATACAAGTAAATATAGACAATATGACGAATGAGCGTAAAGAGTGATAGAAAATGGAAGAATGTTGGGGGCTCATTTCTTCTCAAAATTTAGCACGTAGAATCTAGGGAATTTTTCTGAAGTGAAAGGAGATTTTTTTTTGATTATCAATGTGAACACTAGTTTGGTCCATTTTATAAAAAATAATCAAAATCAATGCAACGACGTTTACTCTATACTGGTTCATAAACGCAGACAAATGCAAAGTTGCGGCCACAGCGGCGACGCGGTTGCGGTCAACTCTCTTGAAAAAGGATGTTACGCAGACAGATGCAGAAGGATAACAAGTAATATACTTCGTCACTAATCATTACGAGGAAGTTAAAAACACAAAACTTGATATTTTCATAACCTGCAAAAAATTGCAAATTTATTCGAAGCAAAAACAGCCCAGAGCACTAAATCTGGAGAAAATATGTATATCACTTGAAATATTATTTGTAAGTTTTTTGAATTTATGGAGCAAGACGCAAGAAAATTGATCGATAAAAATCAATAGATACAAGATCAAATAGATTGACTGCTGAACAGTGATACGAAAAGATTTACCATTAATTACGAATTCCGACTCATATAATCAAATCAACATGACTTGTGCGATTGCACACGACACGCGCTTTCGCGTAGAAATCAGGAATCTGTTGGCTATGAGGATGCAGACCATTTGTAAAAACTTTGTCTCTTTATTCTTTCTTTGATCGAAGAACGCGCTAATTGTGCGCATAATGGCCATCAAAGGCCAGGATTCAACGTGTAACGTGCACGCTGTCTGCAACCACACATATTAGCTCACAAATTGACTTACTTTGAGCTGCACTTCTGCACGGCATACGGTAGGTGAGCAAATTATATTGTATGCCGTGCAGAGTTGCGTGAAAGGTAGCAGTGATTAGCAGAGGCGGAGCTATTTTTCAAATGAACTCTGCCTTTTACACAATGCAGAGATAGTCATCGTCTAGCCGTAAGGAATACGGTGCAAGGAACTTTGCTAATTTTTAGATAACTACAGCTGTTCGTCTTGAAGGTTCGAAAAAGTTTCATAGCCATGAAGATTGATATTAGCAGAATGTGGAAAGGTCGAGATAAAATATTATGTTATTTTATTGTGACGTAAAAAACTGCAATCAAGATTGCTTTATAAGGTAGGCGAAACGTAATCAAAGGCCAAAATACCATATGAAAGGGCTTTCAGGTGATATTTTGTTGTACGAGAACAAGTATGTACAAAACCAGCGTACTATGAAACTATGGCAAAAAATAGAATTACAAAGTCAAAACTGCAGAAATAAAACTCAAAGTGCCGTATGGAGTTTAAACTTATCGGAGGAAGGACAAGTGCACGTTATAAAGTCGGAGAAGGAAAAAGTTAGTTTTTTTTTCAATGTTTAAGAGCTGAGCAATCAACAAAAATCAGTGAGCCTTTGACTCTCGGCCTTAGAAATGCTTGGTTTAGCTAAGTATTAGTGGTGAAAGTAGAAGATGCAGGAAAAACACATTGAACATAACGAATTCACAAAAAAAGTTGGAGCCATTTTCGGAAGTGTTAATGTTACAAATCAAGAAAGTATATTTGGACCTCCCATAAATGTAATTCTAAACTGGAACCATTAAAACAAATTTATTACTCCCAGATATCCAGTTTTTTGATGCCCTACTGAAACTTTGATGGGAACCATAAATGGGCTTGGTAATTCTTTGAGTAATGTTGCTTAATATGCACTTCCCACAATAATCAAAACTGGAATATGAGTGTTTATATAAGTAAGTACAAAATTTTGAGTACGCAAGTGCTATTCAGTCGCCTTGCACCCTTAATGTATTAATTCAGTAAACATTTTGACATTCATTTGTTAGCGCACGAGGAAAAAGATGTTCCAGTAAGTGTTTATCTATTCAATCATATTACAGCGGTCAAATAGGAAAGATATGAGTCTTAATAAGGTCACCCAAACATTTAGTTTTGATCTCATGCTGTGTGCGGTAAATTTTTCCTGCGCGTTTATGACATTCTGCACATTTTTGTGATATTTCAAAATAATTGAGGCACTATAGTTACAGCTATAGTTCGTTGGTTATGGGACAACTGACAGAGAATTAATCATAGCTAATGTAGAGGGCAATATTTCTCCCAGTCATTAGGAACCAGAAGAGTTAGTGTGGTAAACAGTAAGCATAAAATCACTTCACTAAGAATAAACCAATGGAAAATTATAAACAGGTATTTCCATCACATACTCAAACAATTCACCGGAACTCCCGTAGAACAAGCAAAATTTGCAGCGCTTCCGCAGGATTTTGTTTTCTCTTGCAAAAATAGAAACGTTGAAAATGAGGACTTTCGCAGGACTCTTTACAAAGCGCTGCGGAAGTTCCGAAAAATGCCAGCGATTCCGCAGCACTTTGACATGCCGGTACTTCCGCAGGGCTTTGAATGTGTTGTTTCGCGATGTTGCCTCGCCAACAATTAGAGTGCAGTATCAAGTATGACATTCGTAATGCAGAGGATAGTAGGTGAGTCTCGGCCAGTATGTTCAAATCTCGCTTATGCATTTTCTTTTGCTGTTGTGATTCGCATTCTTCGGAACCTCTACCGTTTACGGAACTTCCGCAGGTGACCCGGCGAAACTTTCCCAAACGTTCTGCGGAAGTTCCGGTCAGTTGTCTGAGTATGTAGAAATCACTGACAATTCGAGAAATTGTTTCGGGTAGCTTCCGCAAAAACTAAAGTCCGCGGAAACTTTCGAATGCTTTCCGAATTTTCTTGATAGATACTCACAGAATACTGAAGAAGAGCCGTTGCTTACTGAAATTTTTTTACAAAGCTGATTTAGGTTAACAAAAATCTCCAAAAATAGCAGGCAGGAATAGAATATCTATATAAATGGCCTTAGTTTAGAAGATCCCAAAAGATTTTCGAAAGCCAGACAATCGGATAGCAAAATCGAATGAGATAATCATGCTGGCTGCACTTTACACTTTACGAGCATAATAAATGTCTCAGCAAAACTGATGAACTCAATCAAGAGGAGGAGAGGAAGTGGAAGACTCCAATGGGTCAGCTGATTCAAGTTTAAAGTCTGAGTAACTGATATATGGCCTTACATCTCTTGTTGAATAATTAATCGTCATAGTTTTAAGCACCTGTTAGACAAAAAATAATTGTGCGTAGTGTCGTCCAGCTGACGACAAGAGTAGGAGAATTGTAGATTTATATGAAGGCATAAACTTGTATCCAATCAAAAGTTCAGCGCAAGTACGCTGCGATAGAATAAATCAAATGTCAAGTGTTAATACTTTTAGAAAATGGAGCTAGAGATTGACTTTTCGTTGGGGAACCCGGAACGCTGTGTGAGAAAAACTGAAAGCAGTGGGGATAAACAGCTCATCAGTCAAATGCAGGTGCGAGATCAAAGCTCCACAAATGAATGGGTCTAGGAGGAGGACATTCGGAACAACAGCAGACACCTTTTGGCAGTGGCCAAAAGGCCTCAGGATTCACAGAACAATATCTGAACCTTGTTGTTATAGAGGTAAGCGATGAATGTATGTATGAATGTCTGATCATTTTTTGGCTTCGAAGAGCGGATACGTTTATTCGTTCAGGAGGATAATAATAGGAAATTTACAAATAATACGAATTTCATTATTAAACCATCTACTACTTGTTCATTTTCCTGTCTATTTTTATCGATTTATGCATATTTTGGTGTGGAAAAGCAATACGTTCTGTGCGGAAGAGCAATAATAATGCGAGGAATATTTGCCTGACTGATACTTATTTTTTCTATCATCTATTCTATGACTAGGAGACGCGTGACCGCGTTGCCATTGTTTCAACATGTTCGAGTTTGTCCTTTCCTGTTTCCAAAAAAGTGAATAAACCTGTACGGGATAAATGGCAAGCATATACCTGCTAAGTACACGATTAAGATTGTTTAGACAATGTGTGCAATGCGTTCTAGCGTCTCTTAGTCATAGAAGGAATGATATTTATTCGGTTAATATATGGCTCGCCTCCCAAAAGAATATGGTATCAAAAAAATTGCGAAACAGAAACTATTGAAAACAGAACTAATATATTCAAGCCGATTTAAGTCCACCTCCGATTTGAATCAGAAGACGCAGGAAATTCTTTTTTAGAATGACTTTTTAGAAAACTATTATCTTGAATGATAGCTGTTCCTGCAAATAAGATCAAGAGGAATACGGATGGTTCACTTGATCTGCAGTAGACGAATAGATTGTGCACCCTATCTGACATGAAGTATGATTGTAATGTTTCAATCTAAGCGAGCAGGGAAAGAAACTATCTTGTTTTCTATGACTCAAAGGTATGTCATAGGCTTTTGGCTACATTTCTATCATAATTTGTTCGGCAAGACATTTTTAGTAGGCAATTTCGTTTAACAAGCGAATATAAGGCAAAAGAAGAGTGGAGGGAAAACGGACGTACTGTTGACAGTTTTACCTATGAACATGAGTTTTCCCAGCAGATTTTATTCTCATGAAGGGAGACCAGTGGTTTAGTGGTATAAGGTGCCGCCTTGTCAGATGTAATTGAGGTTCGACCCCGCTACTCGACCTAGTAAGCGCTCTATCCTTCGGGACAAATGATACCAAGAGGTTAATTTGGTAGAATTGACCAATGGATCCTAAATCATATGAAGGCTTGCGCAAACTCCGTAGCCTCTTCAATTATGAAAACAAGTATAACAGCAGAAAGGTATCGGAAGCTCCCGCATTTTTAAAATTTACTCTTCCTCAAATTATGATACAGTAACACTAGCCGTAGAAAATAGCTTGATATGTTATCACGAAATGTAACATTGCCCATCGTATTATATGTGTCGTTTCCCTCCCCCCTGGGCCGCAATTTTTG